TCACATCTTATTTTTTATTATCTGTATGTTGCTTTATTAGTTGTTGTCTCTGTGTACTGGAAGCTTGTGACACCAAAACAAAATCCTTGTATGTGCAAACATACTTGGCAATAAAGTTTTTTCTTACTTCTGAGAATTTCATCCGTGTTTTCTGCATTCTGGTAAAGTTCCCAGTGCTTTGCTAACGCGTTGCACCAGAAACAATTTTAGAAACGAAAGTTATGAATTTTGCCCAGTTCTGGTATTTTTCAAAAAACAGAACTGGTTCTGTATAAGAACCACTGATCGTTATAAATATTCTCTAATATAGATCAGTGATAAGAACCTTTCTTGGTCCCTAACCTTGTAAGTGCATGCTGAAGCTTCCATATATCCCTCTGTAGCGTTATCATTATAGTTGTGGTATAGACTTCCCTATTCTCATAGAATTAGAATGATTATTTAAACTTTATAGTATTTGTTCTTGGTGTGAACAGGCCTCAGCGATCTTGAACTTGCATCCAAAAATAACTTTTTTGGGTTAAGGAAAAGTGAATTGTGAAATAATGAATTTTTAAATGTTCTTTTAAGGGGATCATTTGACAGTAAAAGGTACAAGAAAAACGATGTGACAGTTGCAGCGCACTGTGACGGTCACATCTGACTTCTCCCCATCTCCTCATGTCAAAATGCTGCAGTCAGCATATTTTTATCTCATGTAACCTGCAGCAAAGAAAGAAATGATGGGGGGTGGAGGGCTTGTTTGCCAAATGGGTAAACATTCATTTACGTCTGGCAGTGAAACGTGAAGTTAATCAAAGTGATTATCTGGTGTAATCATCGTCATTGTCTTCAGGCCTTCCTTATAAACCGTGCCGCCTGTATTCCTACTGTAGTCGTACTGTAGAGAGCAGCAGCTTTCTCTGCCATCTGGAGCCAAGCTGCATGTCATCCTCCCCTGATTCACTCTCAGCTTTTTAATCCCATCTTTCTCTTCTCAGCTAGTTTCAGTTTTGTTCAATGAGAGGCAGTAGACATTCCCACTTTTAGTATTACACAGCTCCGAGTTTTGACAGAAAAGTGTCAGTTGTGGCTGAGCTGTATGGTAATAAAAAGTGAATATTTACTCTTGCATGTAAACGCATGCCAGGAAAGCTGAAATATCTTCCATTTCTAGCTGGTGTGAAGGCATGTCACCATGGAGATTGATCTGTGTCAAATCCTGTTTTCCACTCTCTATTTTTCCTTGTGCAGGAGAGGAACTTCCAGGTCAAATCACAGTGCATAAGAACAGAAAGGACCCCAGAGCACTGCTCATCACACTTGACATCGCTGGCCGGAAGCAAACCTACAGCCTCCAGTGAAGAAGTTTTATTAGGGGAAAACACATACTTTGAGCAATGCAGTGTTTAATAACTGAAACATTCTATTAAAAGTTTTTCTATCAAATGTCAATCATTCATGAGTTGTATATAGAGTGAAAGTTGTTCTCTCTGTGACAAACAACAGGACCATACACAGAGTCACCAACTTGGGCAACTAATTAAAGTCTGTCTTCGTTTTAAATCTCTTAATATCCCATAATATATTTGGGCCTCTTTGACTCTTCATGTAAAGCAATGGAAGAAATCTCATTTCCTACTTGAGTGAATAAAGTAAAAGCTTCCATGAAATCTAAGTACTTCTATGTTCTTTTATAATAAAAAAAAAAAAAGGTTTTATATTTACCATAAATGTAACACTAAAGTCCCCTGAGTCCTTTTTGTTTCACAGAGATCAGAGGTTAAGTTCTTTTACTCAATCATGCAATGACGTCATGGTCATGTGCATACGTAAGTCTAGCAACTTAGCTTCGAAACATTGAAGACCGAGCATTCACATAGTGATAGCAGACAAATGAATTACGACAATATTGTATAAGATTGGTTGCCTTTATGCACCCCGTTACATTGACAGCTGTCATAAAGAAATATCACCTGAATGCCACAATTGTCCAATCAGAATAAAGTTTTCAGGGAGTCGTGTGATAACAGAACCTGTCCACTAGGGGGAGCAGATATTAGCTTAATTAGCTTAAAATGTGCACTTGGCGGCCTCCCGGAAGATAAACAAAAGCTTGTTGTTTGAATGGCAGTCAGTGATGCCTCATGCTAAATAAACTGCTTTTGTGTGGAAAAAGCTGATAATATAGGCATAACAAATCGATTGCATATCCGCTAGTCTATATGTTTGGCATGACTTCTTCATTCGAGAGTATATTTGGGGTCTGCGACCAAAAATGCTGGGGTTTTTTTTAAAGAGACGTGACAGTTTTGCCTCAGATATGATTTTTTTTTTATACGGCACTACTGTACTAGATGTTCCAATATCCACACTTGCGGTCTTGCCCCTTAAGTGCACGTGCACGCCGTAGAGTAGGTGTGCAAGACTGACCCAGGTCTTAAAAAAAATCCATCATGCTAATATGAAACCATCTTTTATTAATACAGTTGCGTTAAATTTTAAAAATGTCTACAGATAAGAAACTGATAATCGTTAGAAACATGATTTCGTTTAAGGCCCTATTCCATATCTTACAGGCACGTTTTGTGTTGTTTTAAAGGGGTCATATGATGCGATTTCAATTTTTCCTTTCTCTTTGGAGTGTTACAAGCTCTTGGTGCATAAAGAAGATCTGTAAAGTTGCAAAGACTAAAGTCTCAAATCCAAAGAGATATTCTTTATAAAAGTTAAGAGTCAGCCACACCTACCTAAAACGGCTCGTTCTAACACGCCCCAACATACCTACGTCGCTCTGTGGGAAGATTTGCATAACGCCACCCAAATGTTCACGCAAAGAAAGAAAGAAATAAACTGCTTTTGTGTGGAAAAAGCTGATAATATAGGCATAACAAATCGATTGCATATCCGCTAGTCTATATGTTTGGCATGACTTCTTCATTCGAGAGTATATTTGGGGTCTGCGACCAAAAATGCTGTTTGTTTGTTTTTAAAGAGACGTGACAGTTTTGCCTCCGATATGATTTTTTTATTTATTTATACGGCACTACTGTACTAGATGTTCCAGTATCCACACTTGCGGTCTTGCCCTTTAAGTGCACGTGCACGCCGTAGAGTAGGTGTGCAAGACTGACCCAGGTCTTTAAAAAAATCCATCATGCTAATATGAAACCATCTTTTATTAATACAGTTGCGTTAAATTTGAAAAATGTCCACAGATAAGAAACTGATAATCGTTAGAAGCATGATTTCGTTTAAGGCCCTATTCCATATCTTACGGGCACGTTTTGTGTTGTTTTAACAACAAATACTAACAAGACAAATGACCATCGGCTGATGCATAATCTTATTTTATGCAATTAATTATAGGGTGAAAGAAAGTGGAGAGAACTACTTTGTTTCAACGTAATTTATTGCTTATCAGACCCATTGTATCCACTGTCATTTTTAGAGCAAAGCAAAAACAAGTTCGGAAAATGCCCAAATACAAAAATTGTATTCAACACAAGACAATTCCAAATGTGAAACTGTAAAAAACAGCCTGAGAAACTTAATAATTCGTTAGGTAAATGATTAGCTGGTTGTGGACCACTGAAAGACTGCATATTTGTGTTGGCTCTCTCTACTTAAGGCGTACCGTGTTTCTTTTTAACGTGCTTTAAAGAGAACGTATAAAGGTGACACGGAAAGAGAAGCAGAAATCAGTTACAATTATTCTCTGTTGACAAAGCAATTAAACCCAGAGCGAAGAGCTAATCCAGCCGTATAGAGGCTTATCACAGGCGGCCGCAGATTTATGATGGTCACTGCAGCAGCGTGCATGTATAGAGTGATATCAAGACTGAGGAACTGAGCGGCCGAAGATTGAATAACAACTTACCGACGTTATTATATTTCTTGTTTAATTGGTTGGGCACTTTATAATAACTTTAATCAAAAACCGATATTATATAATCTTTGACAGCTCAGTACATTCAAATATGAATCGACTTAAATGTACGTTATCTGTTATTAGGTCTATATATTGTAATGTGTGTGTGTGTTCAAGTTATTCATGCAAGTTATTCTTACCAATAATAATTATAATGCATAAAGATGCTATATTCAATTCAATGCTTCTCTGTTGAAAAAAAAGGTGCTCTGGGGGATGATGCTCAATGCAGTGTGGTTACATCGAAGCTAAAAATAGAAAATTACTCCTTTGTCTTGCGTAAAAGTTTAACAAATGAGTGCCTCCACTCCTCTGAAAACCTCGCCCACTTTTCACACTTGAACAATATGTGTGCCGGTGACGCATAAGGGTACGCGTGCGTTCGTTTGACGTGTGAACTATGAACCATGAGATCCATTACTCAAATACTATAGAAAATATGCTACAAAAGTTTGTATAGTAGTGTTTCATAATTTTCCAAAGTCAACTGTTTGGTTGTAGACATAGCCATTCATGTAAAATTTAAGCAACTTATCATATTTCATATAATATAGCAAAAATAATATTTCCATGGCCTTATCTAAATAAAAAAGCCAGACTTGACGCAGATCTGTGCATTGCATGTAAATGCCCCTAACTGTGATAAGATGTAATTAGAAAACATAAAATGGGCCTGTTATCTATCTTTAATAATATTGCATGATGAAATGTCATTAGATTTATCTGTATGTATAGGAGTCGGTCAACTATGCAGTCCCCACGATGCCTGCGTCTGCAGAATCTTCTCCGTGCGTCAGATGAACATCTTTACATAGTCCTGAGGGACAAGTTTATTAATCAGTCACGAGCCAGTCCGTCCCCAAACGTAGTCTCGCGCTGCCTTGTGTGTGTGTCACGAGCTCACGTCTTCGCTTGTTGCCGCTTTAAAAATCAGTATTGAAGGCCAATGATTTATCAAAGCCCTATTATCAAGAAAATGTCATGCGAAGGGTACCTTGCCATGCACTGACGCAAACCCGATCTTTCCCACGGAGATATAGAAAGCTTTGCACTTGGCACGGCCAAACTCAGTCTGCCTGCCGTGATTCCAGCTGTTTTCTGCTATTAACCCACATTTGTTGACTCTGCACAAATGGTAAGTACAGCACATTCATTACTTTACGCTTTGCGTGTTTTTGCTGTGAACAGTTTACAAATTATTTAGAACAGTCTTGGGGGGAGAAAAGTATTATTTGTAAGTGCACTAATAAACGAAGTGTCGCTATCCACGGTGCTGAAACTTTATAGCAGGCGTTCTTACACCTTTTCAGCGGCAGTATTTAGTTATGTATATCGCGTTAAAAACAAATAATTACAAATTCATAACCTTAGTAGTAGTAGTATTCATATGACAGCCGATTTATTTTATTTATTTTACTTTTTTCTTTCTCTTTTAGTATTTAGATAACTAGAATATTTTAACTTATTTTAAAAGAGTTTTAGGACAGTGATCTCCTATGGTACGATGTAATTGCTGGTGTAATGTTCCATGTTTGCACCCGGGCTTGAACTGCACACTTACACCGGGACTGGTGCCTGCCGCAGGGGGGGAAGCCTTGGCCGGCAGCTTGTCTATTGCCCATAAAACCAGGGGATGTGCCGGGGTTGAATGACAGGAGGTAAATGAGGCGTAAAATTAAAGAATCTTTCTCTAATGGTAAAAGCAAGAAGCAAACAGCTACCGTCCGTGAGCTGAAAATCAAAGAAGTGGAGCAGACATGTCCAGAAACGGTCTAGCATACAATACATTGCAGAAGTTATAGTATGATAGCGTGAACATTTTGCCTAGGGGTAGGTTTCTGTAAAAATGCTCGGTCACTAGGTGTGAAAAGCAGTTAATTGTTAGGCTGCGTTAATTGTACTGGTCCTGTCTAATGTGTATTTAACGTTGCAGGATTTTTCTGAGCACGGGGAAATGTTGAGACAACCGTCAAACAGTATTCCGCCCCAGCCGTCTGGGGGAGCGGTTGGAGCTACAACTACTAACAAACCGGAGAATGGGAACCCGGTGCCCCCACCGCCGCCTGTAAACGAACGGAAAACTTTTTGTCCTTCGGAAAATAAACCGTGCGAAATGGAAGCCAATAAAGCATACGGGACGTTTAAAAACGCCGCACCTGGACCCACGTTTGCTCCCGTTAATTCTGCCGTACGCAAGGATTCCGTCGGTAAAATGGATGGTTCGACCGGTAAAGCCACGTCGGACTTCATGTCTAACAATCAAAGTGCTGTAAGGATCGCGGCGGAGCATAACAACACCACCGGTGACTGGACCTCCATGAGCCAGACCACCATCATCCTGGGTACAGATGGCAATACATCTGTTCTGCCTGGCACGGTGACCGGGGTAAGTGCATGGTTAAGGAACGTTTCATTCCGGTGGAATCAGCCAATCACCCCTAAGCTAAAGCTTTCAAACGGGGAGAGTCTTGAGCAAAAACAAAACCTTGATATTTTAAGTGTCGTAGTAGCATTGTCAAACTAAAGGAATCCAGCTGCAGCTTTGTCCGTTACGATAGTTACAGGTAGAATTTTGTTCGCGAGACCTTTATTTAACCCACTTATGTTTGTAAAAAAAAATACAAAAAATGATTAAAAAAAATTATGATGATAGTAAGGTTGGAGTTTCTAGAGGTTCGTCTCACTCAAGCGAAACAGTCATTTGCCACCACAAGCACTATTATCCTTTAAAAAATATATAGCGTTTTATTGTGATATTTAAATTTACACTTAACGATAAGTAGTGACGGTTATTTGGAGCGGCGTACTGTTGCTATGGTTACCTCCTAGCCAAAATCTATTCGCTGGCGTCTTTGGCGACAGGTAAAAATGCGCTGTGACTAACTTGTAGTTTTTCGTAGGATTTTACCGTTACTGAAACGTTTAAAACACGTATGCACATATAAATATGTAGTCTAATTTAAGACCTTCGAACCTTTTGTTTGAATTTAATTTGCTCTTACTTAATTCGTTTTTTATGTGTAAAATATCGGTATAGGTTCGGTTATGTATTCTATGCAATGTGTTTCAGGAGTAAAAGACGGCTACTGTCATTTGTGATATATGGCTCTCATATTAGTCATAAAAGTGTTTTGGACAAAAGGACATTGTTCTGTAGTCTCTCAAACAAAATCTGTGGTACTGATTCTTTCTGACAGCACAATAATTACAGCAGTTTTCACGAACAGGTCGAGTAAGAGGATATGTCAAGGAACCTGAGTACATCAAATGCTGTAGGCTATGTATTAGGATAGTAACTGTTACTGCATTGCAAATGAAACATTCGTTCAAAAATACTTAGTGGACTGTTCTTCCAGGATGATGATGATGAAGGAGATGAGAATAAGGCCCGGGGGAACTGGTCCAACAAACTGGATTTTATTCTGTCCATGGTGGGATACGTATGCCTGTGAATTGTGAGGTTTATTGTCCTCAGAGATTGGTTTCTGATGACTGGTTGTGTTGTAGGATAATGTGTTACATAAGAATCTTCTTATGGTACAATTCCCTTTGGGGTGTTTCATTAGAGCCAAGGGCGACCCCTTTATTCCCAGGTCACGGAAACGAGACAAACATTTTTGGGGGAACATTTGTGTATTTGAATTAAAAAAATTTTTTTTTGATGCCTCTATAATAATAATGACCCATAATCTGATGATTGTCATAATCGTTAAAAATTGAATATCTATTAAAATGTATATAGCAGCCAGCATTCGTTCAAAAATACTTAGTGGACTGTTCTTCCAGGATGATGATGATGAAGGAGATGAGAATAAGGCCCGGGGGAACTGGTCCAACAAACTGGATTTTATTCTGTCCATGGTGGGATATGCCGTCGGTTTGGGAAATGTGTGGAGATTCCCATATCTTGCTTTCCAGAATGGTGGAGGTGAGAAACAATCAAGGGGCATATTAAAAAAATATTAGGAAATATTTTTGTTCTGCTACAGATCGATTTTTATCGAAAATGAGTCGGAATGTCAATGCGTAGTAATACACGCATACAAACTTTCGTTAGAGGCAATTTTATTTTCTGTTACAAAATTAAAAAAAAAATCGTTTTATAATTGCACGGATTTTATTTTAATGTACGAATTATAAGGGCAACGAAAGATTATCATCAGGTATTATTTGTACACATTAATAGTGTATATATGTGTTATTGTATTATGTTTAATATGTATTGTGTTTATTATCCATTAGCCTACCTTATTATAATATTATAAAATAATATAATTCGTTCTATTGTTATATATTATGTTTATTTTAATTAAAAAATATAAGAAAAGCTAAAATTCAAACTTTAATATGTTTATTGTTCCCTTTTTTAAAGACGCACTACTCCTGAGTCATGACTTTTTCAATAGCAGCTGTTCTCTGTTTTTGTATAGGTGCGTTTTTGATACCTTACCTAATCATGTTAGGCCTCGCCGGTATACCTATATTTTTGCTGGAGGTGTCTTTGGGTCAGTTCGCCAGCCAAGGCCCGGTGTCAGTATGGAAAGCGATCCCAGCTCTACAAGGTAACCTGACGTTACTTTATTAATTGATGCTCCGTTATGAGCAATGTTTGTTTGTGCTAATGTGTCATATTAGTGTTTCCAGTGAACTGGTAATCGACTTTCCGACTGCTTTAAGTGTAATTTCTATTATCTGGTTTCATTTTGTTATTATAGGTTGCGGGATTGCCATGTTGATAATATCTGTCTTGATAGCCATATACTATAATATTATTATGTGCTGGACATTGTACTACCTGTTCGCTTCGTTGAAGGAGACACTGCCATGGGCCACCTGTAAAAATGAATGGAACACCGTCGAGTGCACTCTCCCCCTGTGAGTCCACCCCCCAACACCCCCTTTTTTTCTAACTAAAATGCGCAATGCGCAACCTGTATTTCAGGAATTAAGTACCCTACCACTCAATTTAGTTTTTTCAGTGTCATCCTGCTCTTTTTATACCCCAAATGCAACTGTCTTTCCCCATTGCGCCAGAAGTTCTTTTTTGATGACTTGACAAATTTTTGTCAGCTACAGAAACTGTAAAATCAAGTGCTTTTTCATTTTAGTGCCATCATGAATTAAGACTAGATTTTGTGTTTTTATTTTATTTATAATTATTGTGTCACATTGAAAGGTGCGATTAGTGAAATAAATGCTGTTTGCTATACTTTCAGAATGAGTTTTGCTTAAAATCTAATTTGAATAAAATTTCTGGTGTTTTATTATGCGCTTGATTTAATTTGCTGACATTTTTACGTTTTAATTCGTTTTAAAACGCTTTTCTCAATGTCGTGCTTTTGGTGAATTCAGCAGAAAATCTGCTTGCTTGACAAATTTACTGTAAGAGTTGGTGCAGTGCCGCAGTGAGATGCACTGCCACCTCGTGGCTCGTTTGAGTAGCGCCACTAAATTTGCACACGAATCAAAGACGTTGTGTACAGTATTACAGTTGTGTGTGTGTGTGTGTGTGTGTGAGAGAGAGAACTGTGTAGGCCTGTTTGTACGACGTTTGATTTATTTCGTTGACTTAATTTGTTTTAAGACTGTTTTTCAATTAGGTAGTGAATGACGATGGAATTTTTTCCACGTTCATTCCAAGTTCTGTCATTGTTTCTTCTGGCCAGACTCCTGTATACTAAGGGACAGAGACATCACATCAATCAAGAACACCACATTCTGTTTATCTGCAAATGCTGTCGGGAATTTAAGTAAACTGTTAAATGTCACAATGGACAATAAAACCTATGTCAGCCCTAGTGAGGAGTATTTCAAGTAAGTGTGCTTTTCTATCTATCCGTCTGTCTGTCTGTGTATTTAAAGATGCTCTTTGTGTAATTTTTTCAGCTTAATTGGATACTAATCACTCTGCTTTCTTGACAGGTATAATGTGTTGCATATTTCCAAGGGTATTGAATACCCAGGTGACATCCGTTGGCCCTTGGCTGCTTGTCTTTTTCTGGCCTGGCTTATTGTTTATGCCTCTTTGGCAAAAGGGATCAAGTCCTCAGGGAAGGTAAGAAAACAGGTTGACTATTTTCTCTCCTTATTTCTCCTCTTTGTACTATTAAGAGAGAAGCCTACAGCAGGCCTCATTCGGGTCCAGTGAAAAGATGACTTCCTTCATTCAGATGACTTCCTTATTTCAGTCTTCAGTGTCACAGGACCCTTCAGAAATCATTCTAATTGATGATTAGTGCTGATTTGTGCTCAAGAAATATTTATTATTGTTATATATTGTATATGTTAAAAACAGTTGTGCTGCTTATTGTTTTTGTAAAAATCATTATATATTTTTAAGAATCCTTTGATTAATAGAAAATTCAAAAGAAAAACATTTATTTGCAATAGAGATCTTAAAAAATTATATTTGTTTTTCTGTCACTTTTAATCAGTTTAATGCTTCTTTGCTGAATACAAGTATTGTGCATAAACATATTATGTTATTGAAGTTTCAATTGCCGTTCGGATGTTGTATTGGTGAATGTGGGTGTCAAGACAAGTAATTATGCTTCTAAAGTCAGGTTTGGTAATTTATTATATTTATTAGCAGAGTTTCTTTCTTGGAAAGTTTCCCTCAGGCAGAACAGGTTAAAAGTAAGCCTTTGTGACTATCATTATTATCATTTGGCAGGAACATTAGACAAAACTGTAAGTGATTAGCAGCTAAATAGGAATATTCCCAGTATCACAGAGAAATGTGTAGCATAATTAGTAAATGTGTGCTTACTAATTTGGCTTAAGAAATATTAGATAGGTTAATAATGATTTCTAAGCTTGTAAGAAAAACAAAAGATTGTCAAAATATTGTATATGTGTTTTACTTTCTGAATTTTGGTCAGTAAAAGTCTTTTTATATTTCACAAACACATTGTTTGTACCTACATAGTTGTGATGTACATGCACCTTGTATTCAGGTGGTGTATTTCACTGCCACGTTCCCCTATGTGGTGTTGGTCATCCTGTTGATCCGAGGGGTCACTCTGCCCGGAGCCGGTTCTGGGATCCTTTACTTCATAACACCCAAATGGGAAAAACTCAATGATGCCAAGGTAATAAAAAGAATGGTGCTATTTATATTTGATGGTAAAATGTTACATGTTCTTCTCCAGAATGCTTATTATTTCTCTTCCTCAATTGGTCTTTCTTTCTTTCTTTTACTCTTTTTCACTTTAGGTTTGGAAGGATGCTGCTACACAGATTTTCTTCTCTCTGTCTGCAGCATGGGGTGGTCTTATAACCCTCTCGTCCTACAATAAGTTCCATAACAACTGTTACAGGTAGCCAGCTCTGTCACTTTAGAATACACTACTGTGTAAATGTTAGGGCCAGTAAGATTTATTAATTAATTATTTATTTGAAAGCAATTAACCGTTTTTTTCCCAGGATACATTGGTCAAAACTGACAGTAAAGACATTTATAATGTCACAAAAGATTACACATTGTACACATTTAATAGACACATCTGCTCAAAGTATGCATTATGGTTGATTATTAATGATGTAAGATTACACAATGCGCTCTGTCTCTTTGTTTTTCAGGGATACTCTCATTGTGACGTGTACTAACAGTGCCACAAGTGTATTTGCTGGTTTTGTCATTTTTTCAGTTATTGGCTTCATGGCTCATGAGCTCAAAGTCCCAATTGAGAGTGTGGCAGATGAAGGTAGGTAGTATGAATGCATGTGTTTGTGGCTGGTGAGCTATGATTAACTATGATCAGATGTCTGGTTGCTGTTTTTTTTTTTTTTTCTAAATATACAAAACTGTTTTCACTTTCATCACACCTAAAAGTCATTTGATCAGTCTGGTCTGTAAATATGCTCTTTTTGTTTAGGTCCAGGAATTGCTTTTGTGGTCTATCCAGAGGCTCTGACTAGGTTGCCCTTGTCACCATTCTGGGCCATCATCTTCTTCCTCATGCTGCTTACACTTGGTCTGGATACTATGGTAATGAAAATCATAAATTGTATGATTTACAGTTTTTTTTTTCAGTTGTAATGTGATCACAGTAAAAAAAAAAATACAATAAATAACTAAATTGCTTTTCATTCACACTTTCGTTCTTTCATTTAATTTTTTTTTTCTCTCCAGTTTGCCACCATAGAAACTATAGTGACGTCTGTTTCTGATGAGTTCCCCAAGTACCTGCGCAAACACAAGCCTCTGTTCACTTTGGTTTGCTGTTTGTCCTTTTTTGTGCTGGGTTTCCCCATGATCACTGAGGTAGGACATTTACTCTTATTCCCATCTGCAAGAACTTTACCTTTATAGCACACTTTAATTAAAGCAGCTCTCTGGTAAACAATAAAAAAACCCCCAAGTAAATAGGAAAGTAAATAGACTGGAATGGAATATCCTAAAGCAGATAATTGGAAAGGTCTAGAATTAATGTTAGTTTGTTTGTTTTTTAATTAAAGTGATTCACTGGGTGATTTTTAGATTAGGTCTCATTTATTTTTATTTTAACTGTACATATGTGTTTGTGTTTTCACGCACAGAGTGGAATGTACATGCTTCAGCTGGTGGACACTTTTGCAGCCTCTTATTCTCTGGTCATCATTGCCATATTCGAACTGATTGGAATCTCGTACATTTATGGTGAGTTTACAAAATTTGTCTTTAGACTTACTCCAGTCATTTATTTTAGTGCACAGCAGGAATCAGATTTTTAGGTAATGAAAAAGAAAATTACAAGTAATTAAACAAACAAGCAGGCAGCAATGAATAGGTTCAAGCTAAAATGCAGGCTAAGCCTGTTAAGCCTTTTTAAGTTATAGGTTTTGATTAGTTTAGTAACATTAATTTATTAGATATATAGCTGATAAATAGTAAAAACTGTGAAAGTGGACTAGCGAGTCGATGAGTTTACTTGTTCAGCCTGATGATGTTTAATGTCCCTGACAAAATCTATTTTCATTTAGCCACAAATGTGAAAATATCTTTGTTTGTGTGAACCATAGACCTTAATTCATGCATTTAACCAAAAACTATTCACAAAACCCATTCACTTAGGGAGGATGGAACCAGAAGTGCTAAAATCTTAATGCCTGTTGACTTTCTTCCTTCCTGTATTTGTGGTGCAGGACTACAGCGGTTCTGTGAGGACATTGAGATGATGATTGGGTTCCAGCCAAACAAGTTTTGGAGAATCTGCTGGGCCTTTGTCACACCAACTATTCTCACAGTATGTTCACCTTATACCTTATATGACCATTCTTGACACACATCCAATGTCGTTGCATGCACAAATCCATCAGTACTATTACTTTTGGTTAGTGCTGCCACTGACCCTTCCTCTCTCTTTCTCTGTCTCTCTCTCTCTCTCTCTCTCTAGTTTATCTTGGCACTTAGTCTGTACCAGTGGAAGGGGATGACATATGAGGATTACACTTATCCGACCTGGTCTATGGTTCTCGGCTGGCTTATGGTCATCTGTTCTGTCATATGGATTCCCATCATGTTTGTTATTAAGATGCACATTGCACCTGGATCGTTAATTGAGGTAAGGGAGAGATGTTTGGGTTGTTTTCTGTTTGAGTGTTATTAAAAATTGCTCAGTATTGCCTTTCAATAAGTAGATGGCTAGTTTTTTTTTTACATTTTAGGAAAAGTGTTTATTCCAGGTCCTTTCCTCTTTTTTCGCCCAAAGTTTTTCCCCATTTTAATCACCTTATGCTATTATTTGTTCATTGTATTTAGTCCTGTGGTGTGAGAGCCAGTGTTATTTTAATTTCATTGAGAAACTATTATAGTTTTATTAATATTTTGAATTAGTTTTTACTTTTAAATGTTTTGTTTTCATTTTCATTAAAGTTTAGAAACTGTACAGTTTTTGTCCATTTTATTAGTTTAGTTTTTTTTTATTTGCCTAAATAGTTTATTCATTTTTATTTCAGTTTAACTGCATGAAAATAAGAAATGTTGCCTTGGCAACTAGCTGAAATTAGTTTTTTTTTAGAAACATAGACAGAAATTTTTAGAAATTGTATTTTATTTCAGTTAATATTCATTTCAGGTAATGAAAAAATTCTTTTTATGGTTTTATTTTTATTTTTACTATAATAACCCTGGTAATAACTAAATTTTGCATGCATAATTATAAAGAATTATCGAAATCTTATGGATATAAAACAACATGTTTTATACACATGAACAATGTTTACAACAAAATAATGTATCAAAGTGAGTCTTTTTCAGTAATTCTATTAAATTCTATTTTTGAAAAAGGTCAAACAAATTAATCAGTATCTAGGATCCCAAACCAAAGCACCCAGCATGCAATTTAGATGCCCCTTCTCGTTCTCTGCAGCGTCTGAAGTTGGTGTGCTCTCCTCAACCCGACTGGGGTCCATTCCTGATGAAACACCGCGGGGAACGCTACAAGAACATGATCGACCCTCTGGGTACCAACTCCCTTGGCCTCAAACTTCCCCCCAAAGATTTCCAGCTATCAGCCCAATATCAATAATCCTCCTCAATTCCCTGTGAGTGTGAGATTCCCCGAGGCCTCTGAGGGTGAGACTTGCACTCACGTCAAACTCTTTCCCTATTCAACCTCCCCTCTTTTCCATAGCGTTCTCTTTCAGCCATATTCCCCCTCTTCTGACACTTTTAGAGGGGTTTTTCAGGTGGAAAGCACAGACAACTCCCTATGATTTTTTGTTTTCTGAATAATTATTCGTAGTCAGTCTGAGAGTGGGTCTTTCGTGCACATTCTAATACATCGATCCCAGCTGAACCTTTTTCTCAGAGGCAATATGCAGTTGCAACTGTTGAGGCAATATTTGACTGATTGTGCATCATGCAGTGGTTGTTTTTTTAAATAATTTTTTCATTCCGAAGTGACTGCTGATGTTAAAAAGAAAATAATGAAGAGAATAACATTTATATTTCTTGTCTATTTGCTTGTCATCTCTTAAATGTAGCAAACATAATGAGATAAACTGCTGAGTAGTGCACAGTGAACTCGAACTCTTTTCTGGTATCGTACTATCGCTCTCCACTTGTGTCCACTTATAGCCATACCTTGTGCCTCAGACTTCCTCTGTTTATAAAATACTGCATAGTATAGTGCTAATTAAACCAATTGTACTACATTATGGAGGGAAGTGAGCACATTTCAGTCTCTGTGAATTATAAGCTATCCTACTCTTTTACTAACCTGTCGGAAATATCTCTACAATGTTATAGAAGCCAAACTCATAGTGTAGGCTCCAGTAGTATAGATCCATCCCTGTCTTCAAGAAAACTTAGCCATGCAAAACTGTAATAATACCATTCAATGTTGTTTAGAGTAGTACTCAACAGCCAACTAGCAGTTATGTATGTATACTAATATTATAGAGTATGCTTTGGAGTTTGTGTCGTGATCTGTTCATAGACTTTGTGAATCCTCCTATCCTTATGCAGTACGCGGTTATAGTGGAGCGCACAAATGAAAAGTAGAGGAAAATCAAGGAGTGTGGTATGTGTGGCAAACTAATCGTCTCATAAAAAGTGTATATGTGACCCTGGACCACAAAACCAGTCATAAGGGTCAATTTCTCGAAATTGAGATTTATACATCATCTGAAAGCTGAATAAATAAGCTTTCCATTGATGTATAGTTTGTTAAGATAGGGATACAACTATTTGAACATCTGGAATCTGAGGGTGCAAAAAAATACTGAGAAAATCGCCTTTAAAGTTGTCCACATTAAGTTAGCAATGCATATTACTAATCAAAATTTTTTAAATTATATTATTTTAATATATTTACAGTAGGAAATTTAAAAAATATCTTCATGGAACATGATCTTTACTTAATATCCTAATGATTATTGGCATAAAAGAAAAATCGATAATTTTGACCCATACAATGTTTTTTTGGCTATTGCTACAAATATACCCCAGCGACTTAAGACTGGTTTTGTGCTCCAGGGTCACATATTTTAGAAACTTCAACTAGCTTACATAATATTTTTAACAATTGCTTGCAGAGGATATGCAGATTAGAAAAAAAAGTTTTTCATCTGAAATCCTGTGCTTGGGGACCGCACTCCTTTTTTATTTATTTATTTTTTATATATTTTTTCTCTCTGTCTGTTCGCCATGAAACAGGGTCTCAGGTATTACTCCATTCCATCAACCTTATTAGATGTTGGATTAGAATTGAACATATTTATGGAAACTTGATGTGATTCATATATAACTAGGGCTGCACAATGAGTCGTATTTTAATCGTGATCATGATTTCTGCTTCTCTCGATTTATTAATCATAATCGCCTGTGATATTTGCCCGCTTTCTATTTAATTTAGCATTTGCATTATCTTGCACTGTAGTAACAAGCTTCCGTTCATGGTTGTTGTTGCCAGATATCAAGAGTTTAAATACCCCAATCAGAGTATTTTTTTCATAAATCGATACATGGTTCACTTAATCTTCCTAACCATGTACACACTCTCTCTAGATTACAAAAAAAGCACTGATGAGCTGAAAACACTGGCAGACATGTAGGTTGGAGTTTAGAGATATTCTATTGAGATGTTCTGCGCAAATAAAAGTGAAATGCAACCAGTCTGCTTTCTTTAAAGCGGCCGTTTGTGCTGTTTGCTGCGATTAAATCTGCGAGCAAACCATGCGAGGTGACTTTCTCTTATTTTGTGTTTTTGTGACTGTTTGCTGCGATTAAATCTGCGAGCAAACCATGCGAGTTGACTTTCTCTTATTTTGTGTTTATGTGAAAGTGCAATATTTCTGATGAAATTAAAAAAAATATATATTTTAAGCAAAGAAGTTAACTTTTTAACCGTGATGAACCATTTAACCATTATCGTGCAGCCCTACATATAACCGATTCTCTATACGATTTGTGAAAGTGGACATTTTCAGAATATTATGCCATATAATGACAATTTGAATCCTTATATATCATTTCCAGTTACTGGACTGTAAATATGGTTACAGATAAAATGCTTTCGTAGTATTGCTTTAGGCAACAGTTTTATATATATATATATATATATATACAGTGGTGTGAAAAAGTGTTGGCCCCCTTCCTGATTTCTTATTTTTTGCATGTTTGTCACACTTTAATGTTTCAGATCATCAAACAAATTTAAATATTAGTCAAAGATAACACAAGTAAACACAACATGCAGTTTTTAAATGAAGGTTTTTATTACTAAGGGAAAACAAAATCCAAAACTACATGGCCCTGTGTGAAAAAGTGTTTGCCCCTTAAATTTGTTTGATGATCTGAAACATTAAAGTGTGAAAAAAATGCAAAAAAATAAGAAATCAGGAAGGGGGCCAACACTTTTTCACACCACTGTATAGGTTAGTTGTTGTGCTCATCAGTCGCAGCACTACAAAAAGCACTTTGATTAAACGTCACATAAAAATAAGTGATTATTCTCCTCCACCACAGTGAAAAAAAGTACTACTTTTATTTTTAGTTCAGAATGTATACCTAAACGATTAGTACTGTGGATATTATTTAGTTAGTAAAAAGAGCCACACTGCCCATGCAATGCAAGTAATAACACTGAGACTTTGCCTGGGCACGATGGGTTTCAAAAGCCATGTAATATGCAGATACTACACTAATCACTTTGAATATAAAGCATTTATAAAACAGAAAAAGAAAAAAGGTATTCCTCAGTATATTAGTGTCACAAAAGAGATGCTTTTTCTGATAGATGTTTAATCTTACTCTCTGTGTAGTATATGTGTGTGTGAATGTGTGGAATAATATGCAGTGCTTAATGTTTAGATTTATACTTATCCAACCATCCAGACGTGGCCAAATGCAGCCTGGCAGTCAGTTTGAGGTTTTCCTATTCATTGCAAGAGCTGATTTTACTCGAATAGAAGCTCTGGGTTTATGTAGCACAACAAACAGTATCCAAAGCACACGAATAGTAGATGGCTGCTGCGATCGTTGTAATATTCATGGTTTTGGATGGAGTTTCTGTTTGTCCTTGTGTTGCTGTACGTCTGTCCGAGAGCTATTGTTACAAGCCCTTTCACGTAACAAATATTCTGTGGGAAAAAAAATAATAGGTAACGGTCTTGCATGTGCTGTTTGTGTTGCTGTGGATTATTTGTCCATGTATGCTTCCCCTTTACGCTCCTTTTCTCGAATGTGTCCCTCGCTTAGCAGCTGCAGCTGAGTTTACCACCTCTTCCTACCTACAGGGCGACACTGGGCAGTAGGCAACCAAAGAAGGAGAACTTCTCAAAGGGTTCTGAAAAAAAAAGCTTAAAAAAGAACATATGTTCTAAATGAAAAACATATATATGTATATATATACAAATAGCCTATATGAAGAAATGATATATATTATTCTGTGTATTTAGGAGACTGAGATACTGCCACTCATCCTTCATTTAGTGGTCATTATTGATGTGTGTCAATATGTTATATGACATCTTCAGGTAACCTTTGGCCTTATAGATGTCCTCTGGTAATAAACTATTATGTGTATTTCAGAATAATGATACAGAGTAGCTTCCAATCAGTCATTATGTGGTCAGTCTATATTGTATGTATGTCGTGTCATTTGGCACTTTACTGTGGACCTATCGGAGCATAGGTAAAATTTCTTATTACTTGGGTAATGTCATATATTTCTGTGTTTTACATGAGGGAAATCTGCCTATGGATACAGATATGGACCTCCAACAGATCATGGCATCATTTGAGTTGAATTGTAGAGTATAAATATGAAAAATATCTAGATTTTGAATCCTGTGCCA